GATAGAGGACGAGAGAGAGAGAGAGAGAGAGAGGAGAGATAAGTTTTACATGATATGTTAAACCATATATATATATATATATATATTAAATCAATCGCCCCCCCTCCAGAAAATACACATACACTATCTGAACATGAGTGTATGTGTATCCCTGAAGGTTATATAACGAGGAACACAGTGCCAGACAGGAGAAACCTCCCTTAAATAGGTCAGAGTAGTCAAAGAGTGCGGCTATTGCCACAGCCCTTGATTACTTCCCAGAACTTGAAGGTCAGACCATATTATTGAAGACCCTATTACTTCAGACACAGGACTAGGAGCAATAAAGCTGGAACTAACCTGGCAGCCTTCTCCCTGAATACTAGCTTTCATAGTTCTAGAGGATATGATTATAAGTTTCTAAGGGAGAAAATCAATGGTCCAACCCAGCTCCAAAGACCAATAACCACAATGCTGGCACAATAAACTTTCTCAATTGGTGAAGTAGTGGAACATTTATCTAGAAAGTAACCAAAAGATATCTAATCGAACTTAAAGCCCTCTCAGTGGGAGGAAAGTCATTGGATAACACTGTAAATATTGCCAAATATATATGGATGGAAAGGTCATAGATCCTAGTGGAAACCTTATCTCTTCCATACAGCTTTACAAATTAAAATTTTAATTATATGCTAAATATGGGACCTTATACTTACAGAGAAACTTTTCCAACAGATGGAAGCTATTACAGAGTTCCACAAATGGTCACTCAAGAGAATATATGTCTGAGAGTTGATCAGGCCTAAGTTACACATCTACAGTGGATCCTTTAAACTTAAGGCTCGTGGAACATAGTAGAACAGGAGATAGAATACCATAACATCCCTCAACTCTCACCAGTAATGCTTCTTCATACAACAAAATGTAATGTACAGAGAAAGCTACAACTGGTTAAGTTTTAGAGAATAAGAGACTGCAGAGTGTGTGTCCCTGGATAGGACTCCTATATTAAACCTCACCCACTCATGGCTCAGGGACCATTGTGGAAATGGGGGTAGAAAGATTGTAAGAGTCAGAGTTGGTGCATGAACATAAGGAAACAGTTTTTTAGGACACTGGGAACTTTCTTATATGACCTTGCAACAATGGTGACAGCATGCACAAGATCATGCTGACTCAATCAGATAAAAACCCAGCACGGAATGAGGGAAATGGGCAGCAGGCCCCAACCTGAGGAACTATTGGCAACTGATTACTTTGGAGTAGGAGAGTAGATCTTCTTTAAGGAAGTGACCCTATATAGGCTGACTAGTCTCTAGTGGTTGAATTTTTACTGAGGGACATTTGGTTACAAATGCTTGACTGGATAGGACTAACATATATGACAATGCATGGAATCACTTGTGGGTGTATGGAGGGGCAAGGGTGGTGGAGGGGGTCTAAATTTGATTAAGATCTATTGTAGTAAATGAGCAAAAATTAGTAAAATGTATTTAAAGAGTTAAATATAATTAATAACCATATGCCATTTCATATATAAAATACAGTAATATAAATATTAAGAAATCAAATAGTTTGTACTTCCATTGTTCGATACATGCCTAATATATCTGACAAGCTAATGCTGGGATTTAAATACTATCTTTTACAAAAAAGTATTACTGAGCTGGGCGTGGTGGTGCATGCCTGTGGTCCCAGCACTTAGGAGGCAGAGGTAGGCAAATCTCTGTGATTTCAAGGCCAGCCTGGTTTACACAGTGAGTTCCAAGACAGCTGGGGCTACAGGGAGACCATGTCTCAAAAAGACCAAAAAAAAAAAAAAAAAAAAAAAAAAAAAAAAAAAAAGAAGTATCACAAAACTGTACAAATAGCTGTGTGGATGGCAAAACTAATCTTCTTTCAGAATACTAGTATTCTTTTACAGATAAAAATTAAATTTGCAGGTTCTCTGTCAAAGTTCTTTGGGCTACAACAGTACAAGTTTGTAAGTAAGATTATTTAAACGAAAATAAAGAAAAAGCAAAATACTTTCAAAAACTTTCGTCAAACTGGTGTGATAAATTCTTTTCACCATTTTTCATCTAAAAAAGCATTTTGAAATTCAGATGTATAGAAAGTAAGAAATATCTCAAAATAGTATGCTCCTTGACCATTTTCCTCTAATCATTTCTTTTTCTTGCCCCTTGAACTTTCCTTCATTCCCCATTGGGTGTGAAACCATGATGTATTTACATTTTTGTCATAAAGAGAGAAAAATCATCTTCAAAAGGAGTATAGAAGGGGAAAGGGGACTACACTGTCACTGTGACTAAGAGGGGCCTGAAATATTTTGAAGACTATGAATATTGTGTTTTTAGAAAATAATTTAATAGTCATGTATCATTTCTGAAAGACTACCTCCACACACATAGAACTGCCCTTAGTAAAACTCAACTATTTTAAAGCCATTGAAATAGGATTTAAGCCAGATGAAGTAGTGCAATTATAGAGAAAAGGAGAGTAGAAATGAAAAACTCAATGATGCATCTTTACGTTTATTCATTTTACTATCTGAACTGATCTCCTATGCTAGAAACTCCATATTCAATTCTAGTAAAGCACAATATGTGCAGATACTAAAACAGAATGTATATTGCTTTTTTGTTGTTTTATTTTATTTTGTTTTGTTGACAGGGTCTCCCTAGTCTCAGCCCACCTGAAGCCTAACTATGTGAACCAGGCTGGCCTCCATCTCACAGAGATCTGCCTGCCTCTGCCTCCTGAGGGCTGGGATTAAAGGAGCCCACCACAATGCCTGGCACAGAAAGTGTTAATTCTTATGCCAGGTTTAAATAGCGGTTAATTTTAATTTCATTATGAGCCCAATATAATTAAATTATTCTTTCATTTCTAAACACTCTCTCTTCTCCCCCATGATTAGGCACAAAAAAACATGATTAAGGTTAGGTTTTATGTAAATGATAGACTTGGGGTTCACTTTTTTATTTCTCAGGGGTACTACCATGTTTCTTGAGAAAGAAAATAAATATTAAAAATACATAAAATTAAAATGAGATATATAAAGATGCGTTATTTAAATAAAAAAGATTAAGGATTCTCTTAGTTGTAACTCATAATGTTTATTTGATATCATTTGGGTCTTCCTGTTGGTAGAGATTTGAGTTCCCTGTTTTACTGGACAACCATTTTAGAGACGTTGGGCAGATCCTCTAGGCTATGAGCTTTAAACTACAGTCAGCTAACGATTGCAAGGAATGGGAGTACTCAATAGTGGACATTGGTAAGTTGCCTTCGTTCAAGTAAATATCTGCTCAAATAAATAATTGCCTGCCTAATCATGTTGATGCGAGTAATGCCTGTTAAATGCAGCAGGCCACAAACTGGCATAAAATACATGAAAACATAAGAGCAACTCATTGGGAGGAAGGGTTTGTGTAGGAAGATAAAGGGAGTGAGAGTTTTAAGGTGGGAAGATATGACCATAGCACATGTATATGTGCTGAAATTGTGGAAAAAGAAATTTAAAGCTCTCTTTAACATTCTAAGGAAATCCCACATGCATAGTGAATAAAACATAGTGATTGAAAATAAGGTAAGATAAAATGCTTTTCACACACAGGACACTTCTGTCTAGAGAACATGGCTTTGTGGGGTTTTGTTTCGTTTTGCCTTTTGCTTTTTCTTGGATAATTCAAAAGCCATTTAGGACTGATGCTCATTTGAGAATGTGTGAATTCTTGGTGTTTGAGACTGAGTTCTTTTGAGACATTGAATTTAGTATGTGAAAGGTGGTCATTATCAGAGGCATGTTCAGTACATATGACCTGGTGAAAAGCATGAAACCATAATACTTGTGAATAGTACTATGTATCCCATAAATTAGTAAAAATGATATTCATAATTATAAGAAAAAAGTACACCAAAACAATTACTTTTATAATCTTAAAAGCAAAGTCACAGTTTTGGTGTCTAGATTTGAAAAACTGTATTACTAATTGGCAGTGACCTTAGAATGTACAGAATGGATTAAAATAAAAACACCTTTGGGGGCTGGAGAGATGGCTCAGCGGTTTAGAACACTGGTTGTTCTTGCAGAAGACCGGGGTTCAAATCCCAGCACCCACATGGCACCTAACAACTGTCCACAACTCCAGTCCCAGGGAATCCGACAGCCTCTCTGACCTCCACAGGCACTGCACGACACGGGTGCACTTACCTACATGCAGGCAATACACGCATACACATAAAATAAAAGTAATAAATAAAAAAATTTTAAAAAACACCTTTGGTAAAAACACTAATGCAAAAGTAGAAGTAAAATTTATCTAGTATTCAAAGTATGAATTAAGCCAGGCATTGCAGCACGTGCCTTTCATTCTAGCAATTAAGAGGCAGAAACAGAAGGGTTTCTGAGGCCAGCCAGTTTACATAGTGAGTTCCAGGCAAGCTGGGGCTATAAGAAGGCCCTGTCTCACAAACAAATAAACAAACAAACAACAACAACAAAAACAACAAAAAGGCAAACAATCAAAGTATAAATTAAAGGAAATCATGTTGTGTTTAAAGAGGAATATTAAAATGTGATGGCCATATTACTCTTTTATAGTCTTGTAATTCCGTGGTACTGAGTTGAAATCATGCTCCTGATCAAAGACAAATTTGACAATATGCCATAAGAATTATTTCCTTAAAAAATACTCAAAAAGAATCACTTTAAATATGTTTTTATAGGTTACAAGGAAAGTTAATCAGCAAATAGAATAGCTTACTTCGAGGAAAGCGAGGTGGGTTATCATTGACATCAGTTAGGGTCACGGTGACCGATGTGGTTCCTGACAGTCCGCCATTTTGACCAACCATATCCTTTGCCTGAATGACAAGCAAATACTGGTCTTTAGCCTCTCTATCCATGTTTGGAAGGGCAGTCTTGATGACTCCTGCAAAATTTCAAATCCCAGTAAAATGCATCATGAATCATTGCATTTAAACTAATGATGAACACTGATACAAACAGCAAACCACTCCAGCTGGAGTCTTCTGTTGTTTGGCTTGCTTTGTCATTTCAATGTCTACTAAAGACAAAACATATGGTATACTTGCATATAATACTAAAAGCAGAGAAATGATGTAACATGATCTCCTCAATATTGGTTTAAGATTATCACTAGTTGTTGTTTCTGTTTGTTTCTCTGTCTGTCTGTTTGTTTGTTTGTTTATTTGTTTTAACCTTAAGTCCTCCCCGAGTGACCTGGCTGAATCAAGCCCTAAGCTTGATTATACCTGATGCCTATAGGCTTTAAGTTCATTTTTAGGCGAGCCAACCAGTTGTATGTAATACAGTTCACACAGAAACGGCTAGAGAGCCTCTAACGTCAATAAAAATCACATCAGCATGGCACCCGTCCTGGGCCAGAACAGATGACAATTACCATGGTGATAACCAGACAAAACCATAACAAGAAGAAAACAGATATGAGTAGACTATTTTTTTTTTTTTTGCAGAAAACAAGTACCCATTCCCAGGAAGATGTGAACATTTCTTCCATTTTTTCACCTGGCCTTCCTGTCATTTCCTCTACTCTGAACCTGTACCCTCCTAACCCCCAAATTTTTAGAAGCTGCTTGGAGAGTTTATCTCCCACTTTGCCTATTCCATTTTT